GAGGAAGGTGGTACATCCCCAGATCCCAACACCCTGGAGATTGAGGAAGACTATAATTACCACTCACTATTCCAACATAAAGTACTGTAATTAAAACCAGTGGAAAATAAAATAAAAATATGTTATAATGAGTCCAGGTGTTCCAGTTCGTCTGCTTCATGTGTTACCTTTAAATTAAGGTTGAAAAAGCAAAATATTAGTTTATCTAAAAATGTTATTTTTAAATAGTTTTTAATAAAAACTATTACGTTTGCTTATGGCTTTTATATTCTTTGTAAAGACTGCTAATTTATATTTGTCCAGCAGACAGTCATTGACCATATCCATCAGGAAGGAAGCAAATGAAAATTGCTAAAAAGGCTGGCTGTTTACAAATAGTTTTATTCAAGCATTTGGAAAGCTGTGGAAGATTATGAATGTTATTCTTTTTTCTTTCTGTTTTCATTTATATTTCCTGAGAAACATAAATGAGAGTCTTTGTTTACTATGAGTCTTTCTAATATAACAAAATTTGATGTAAAAACTTGAATAAAATCAATCTAAGTTTTATGATTGAATCCTATTAATAAAATAGTTATAATTATCATGGCAAGTTGCACCTGTAAATTGAAGGGTACAGTTCTGATGCCTACATAAAGACTCTTTTAACTGATAATTACTTAAGACAAGCACACTGACTTTTTCAAACATTACTCACAAACATTTACATTGTTTGAGCAAAAACAAATGTTCTTTTAAAATGTAATATTTCTCTTAAAAACATTAAAGTTTGAATTGATTCATGAACATGACAAATGTAACAACGCAGAAATCCACAGTTAGATTTGATCTTGTGTGGGCTAAAGATAGGAACCACTCCCCCTAATGTTTTCAATTTAGACTAACAGATAATTGTTTCTTTATCTGACTGTGTTTGGCTGCGGAGTCTATTTCTGTCTGTTGTGAAAATGAGGACATAACGCTTCAAGATATTGCTTCTAAAAGTAAAGATTGTGTCTGTTTCAAATCATTCAATTATTTCCAAATGTTGCATTGAGTTATCTGTAAAATTTGTGCATATGTTGTAAAACTGAACAGAGAGAGAGAGACTGGACAAATCAGCTGCTGAGAATTAAATAAGAGAGAAGTGTGGGAGAGTGATGGAGTCATGTGATCTTTTTATAGTTTCTATGGCATCAGTCATGCGCCATTTATCCCCTTGATATTTTAATATTAAAGAATTGAGTGAGTGAGTGAGTGAGTGAGTGAGTGAGTGAGTGAGTGAGTGAGTGAGTGAGTGAGTGAGTGAGTGAGTGAGTGAGTGAGTGAGAGAGCGAGTGAATGAGTGAGTGAGTGAGCGAGTGGAGTGTTTTTTTTTTCTAAGATAAATGAAGAGGAGGATTTATGTCATGTCAGTCAGCCTTCATATTTTCTGGAGGCGAAATGATGGTCAGGTACCCACTTGTGCTTTGAAAGAAAAACTGTGGAGGCAGAAATGTCTGTGACTAGTTTCTTGAGCCCACAGCGTTAGCAGTTATTCAAATAAGCTCTTTCCTTCCTCATCTCTTTACAGAGAGCACCATTCTGATAGGATTGGTTGTGTTCTCATGGTCACACACAGATGCGTTAATTTCACTGAATCATGTCAGATAAAAACAAAGCAACAAAAAATGCCTATTAGGTATTGACAACAGTTTCTGTGTTGTTTTTTTATTTAAACCATTCTTAACAGGAAGGTATTAAGTGTAATTATCTGGAATGCAATGGGAAAGATGCGTCTAAATTCACCTATTCACTGTGACACACCTACACTCCCAAAAAATATTTTACCAAAATTTTTAAGATTTAAGTAATTTTGTTACATAAAAAACTTACATTTACTTCTTTTTTTTTTTAGATCCTTTTAACACAAACCTAATAAACAAACCGTACATTATTCATATTCTGCGACGGACTGGCGACCTGTCCAGCATGGACCCCGCCTCTCGCCCGTAGAGAGCTGGAGATATGCACCAGCATCCCTCGCGACCCCACTCAGGATTAAGCCAGACAATGGATGGATGGATGGATTATTCATATTAATTTCTATAATAATGCTAATGTATTTAAATTACATAATCATCAGTTTTATGTATTTAGTTTTAGAAACCAGTATATTTAATTTAAATACATAAAATAAACTGTTTGAAGAACAGTAGCTTGCTCCATCCATGATAGCCTTAGAGCTGAGGACCAGCACACAGGCCAAAAATAAATAAGTATACAGAGGCACTTCTTATTAGTACGGTGTTGCGATTTTCAGATTATGCAGAAGTTTTCAACAAAGTATTGCATAGCTCATTTGGATAGCTATTATTTGTAGAAAAATTAAGGAGCATTAGTTCTACAAAGTAGTACCATTAGTGCTATCACATCCACTAGAGGAAGCCAGTCTTCATTCTTAGGAGGAGACTCACTAGTAGTTATAAGATTTGACACAGCCGCCAAATTCGAACACAGCCAGAGTTTCCAATCTATGGCTAGATCAATTTAGAGCCAAGGTATTTAATCTGATTTAGTTAAACCTGCTTTGTGTAATAGACTTATTTCTCCTAGTGCAAAACCTTAAAGGAGAAGTTCGGTTTTTTACACTTTAAGCCCATTTTCTGTAGTGTCCAGGATGAAATCGAATGAAGGACACCAAAATTTTGACAATTGCTCCTGTCTCTACTTTTTGGCTCATTTAGAATCAACCCCTGGCTGCTTTAGAATGGCTAGCATAGAGCATGTCCGATAATGTCCTTAAAACAACCTTAAACGTTCTTTTTTAAAAATATGCTACTCACCGTGTCGTCAGCGCTGTTCAATGACGTTCCAAAAAAAGTTTCGTAAAGAAAAAACGTTCCTGTAGTGTTTTATTTAGCATTTTGTAAATCCCATTGAGTTCTGTAGGAATAGTCAATATTCCGCTGCCACCGGAAACGGAAATGGGGCCTGTTTACACAGTTGTAGTCTTTTCGCTTCACTCTGCGTACTCCGACGTCGAGGTGCTAACGTCTCTGTTAAACACTTTAAAAAACTCTGAAAATGGAATACGAAAGGTGGATTCTTGATTCTCGACGTCGGAGTACACAGAGTGAAGCGAAAAGACTACAACTGTGTAAACAGGCCCCATTTCCGTTTCCGGTGGCAGCGGAATATTGACTATTCCTACAGAACTCAATGGGATTTACAAAATGCTAAATAAAACACTACAGGAACGTTTTTTCTTCACAAAACTTTTTTTGGAACGTCATTGAACAGCGCTGACGACACGGTGAGTAGCATATTTAAAAAAAAGAACGTTTAAGGTTGTTTTAAGGACATTATCGGACATGCTCTATGCTAGCCATTCTAAAGCAGCCAGGGGTTGATTCTAAATGAGCCAAAAAGCAGAGACAGGACCAATTGTCAAAATTTTGGTGTCCTTCATTCGATTTCATCCTGGACACTACAGAAAATGGGCTTAAAGTGTAAAAAACCGAACTTCTCCTTTAAAGGTATAGTGGAAGATGTTCATTTTCTGGGTGGATCATCAAAATAATTGGTCCTCCTAATTGTCAATCATTCTGGGGATATGTTTACGTAAGGCCATCCTATGTGCTCGTCCCCATTTTCACCATAGTGAGTCTGACATAGTGGAAAAACTGCAAATCTTCTTTGATAAAATCGGAGACCAGCAATACTGAACTTTGGGCATTTATGTATTACATATATAATTTGTATGTTGGCCTTGTGGTAAGAGCAGTGTGCTTGTGCTCTGAGAAGGTTGCAAGTATTCGGTTTGATCCCCACAGCCTCCACTATGGGATGAGTTAAATGCAAAGGTAACTTTCTCCAATTTGACATCAATTAAGTTCAATTATTATTATTTTTATCACAATGAATCCAATTTAAAAACTTTTTAAAATTAAATAGTTGGATCTAGTACAGTTTTTGTGTCTGGTTTTTGGTCTACCATATGTTAGAATAAGCTCACCAATTCTTTCATACTGTTTTTTGATCAAAGAGACTATTTGAGGGTCCCTTTCAGAGGCTGAGGCATCAAGAACTTGCACAGCTGGTGTAGGCATTCCCATATTAGCAGAACACTTACCAAAGCATATATTTTCTCAGCTGAGGAAAATCTCCAGTTAATTCTAAAGAGTCCGCTATAGTTACACTAGAAGGAAATTATTCAGTAACAATGATACATTAAAAGAATGATGTACTGTCGAGATATAATTGTGTTGTGAAGCAAGCTATTATCAAAATATGCACTATAAAAGCTCAGAACATTCCTTGTGGCATATAAATCTCCAAATTAGAAAGCTGTAAGTTAACCGAAATGTGAATACTACTTGGCGGTATGGATTTAGAAAAAGTCAGAGATCCCTCATCTGATGCATCTCGGGTTAAGAAGTGGTTTAAAACAAGAAATATGAAAATTTTAGCATGACATATCATCTGTGTGTCCATGGAGGCTCTTGAAGGCTCTGACTATAGCCTCAGTCCATGTATTATGCTTCTCCAACTAAATTATGGTTGATTTGGCTTAAATATCTCATCAAGGCTTGTATACACGCTCTACCATTCATCTTTTCTATGAATATACCTGGGCACAACGCTCTAAATATCCATTTTCTTTTGTAATTGCATACCTTGAACACAGATCACAGCAGTGTCCGTCTATGTTCAATTTCTCTGTTTTTATTTTTATTTAATGTGATATAAAGTTAACGTTTTGAGGCACTGTCAACTTTGCTGTAAGCCATAATCATATAAATCAGGATGCAATTATCAGTGTGTATAATGAACAGGAATTTTGCTATTGGAATCAAACTACTGCAATTTTCAGCGTTATTCTAATTTATTGTGGTTTATTTCTCTATATATGAACGAATGCAAATCAAAACTTAAGCCTGCATATTGTTTATATGTAGCCTATCTTGTTTAATATCTAGCTCCGCCCCTGTTTTATACACATTCTACATTTTTTTCTGTTTTCCTACGCTCTCACCCCCCTCTCTACCTCTTTCCTCCTTCTCTCGCTTTTCAATCTTCTCCCTCCTACCAACAAGTGAGGATCATCTCTGCACATCCATCCGTTCTCCGTTCAGCGGCGGGGCTTTGAGTTGAGTTATAGATGTCTGCTGGAATTTCTTTTCTCCTCATCCATTTCACTGTTTAATCGATGGGGATGACAGACTGCAGGTGCAGCGGCGGCGTGCGTTAAAATCGGCAGGGACGGTGTGTGGTGCACTAGGACCGTGGAGAGAGAGTACTCTCATCGTGAGCAATGGAGCTGTAGAGGGAACCCCCCCACACACACACTCACTGGATCTGGCGATTTTATCCTTACATTTTTCTCTCCCCTTCTCATCTCCACGGGGATCGCACCAACTAATTTGCGTTTGGGAAGAAAGCAGGAGTGGATTTCTAATTCGGCGAGATTTGCGTAGAACTCGGTTCATACATTTTTTTTAAAAGAGGGTGAAAGTGTCTTTTTGCCATATCATGTCTTCTAGGCTGTAAAAAAAAAACCCCAAAACCCCCACCTTTATCTCACCCGTCCAACCTCTTTTATAAAAGAGCGTGAAGATATCGGCGCACTTTTTTTCCCCTCCAGAAAGAACCGAGGAAAACATAAATCCTCATTTTTGTGATTGAATTTCAGTCGGACGGCTGGCTGAATGGGTGACCTCGCTAAAACACAGATCACCCCCTGCTTGCAGCCGCTGTACGCACGCGTTTATTTTCTCTGCTGACCGGGAGTTGTGATGTCCAGATCCTTCCACGCTGACTGACACTTGGCTTCGTACCATTTTGGAATCAAATTGAAGGTAGGCCAGCTTTGCTTCTGTACTTCAAGGCTTGCATGTGTATTATGGCGCAATTTGGCAAAGTTTTCCGACGAACATTCAAACTGATTCTTTGATTATTCCAAAAGCGCTTTTGTCCCATCTGACTTAAAGGTTAACCTCAGACACCTGTATTTAATATGATGTAATAACCATGCAAGAAAAATTACAGAGGGGCAGGAAATATTATCAGGTCAATGCTTGATGAAAGAACTTCAGCACCTATCCGGTGAGATCAGTTTCAATTGGATATCTTGTAAATGCTCCAAGGACTGAGTGATTGTAAAACGAAATCTCAGCGAATGTTTTGCTTCATAAGCTCAATCGTGGAGATTTTTGTAGGAGCCCTCTGCAGTGCAGTGTCTTGTACATTCAGTGAGCCGCCTGGCTCACTGGATCTTACTGAGGAGAGGATTTAGATAAAGGTGTAAGCGAAACGGAAGATCTCCCCGAAGGCGAGCCTTATTATACGCACAATGTCTTCTTTATACCAGCTGCTGGTTCAGCAACAAAGCAGACACTGAAAACACACAAATGAAACTTATGCTGTGTGTGGAGGGAGTGTAAGTCTGTGTGTGTGTGTGAGGGAGAGAGAGAGAGAGGTGCAATTTGAAAAGACTGGATCAGTGTATGCGTCAAATAGCCCATACAAGTCGCGCAGGCGTTAGGATTATGGTCCCTAAGGTATGAAGGCGAGAAAGGAAATTTAACCATGTTGGAACAACCGATGACACTTATTCTGATCTACTGTACTTGTTCCCCATAGAGGAAAACGAGGCGAATCGTTGGGTGGAACTGTAGGAATACCGACGCATGACGCAGGAATCTGAGCTGGGAAAAACGATTATATATTTTATACTGGGCTTTCTACCTGTATTTTTAAGGTGTTTATTTATCCCCAGTACATATAAAAAGGTGGATCAGCCGCAAGTGAGCATGTGCTTGAAATTAACCAACTTACATTAGTTAGGTCCCTCTCTCCATGGCTCCTATAGGTTTTGCCAAGGACGGCCACATCTCTTAAAAGTCTAACTCAACCGAAGCTGTGGATCTTACAAGACACAAAGATCAGAAATAACCACCCTTAATCATAGCTGTCAGACCAGCCCCCCTCCTCCTTCCTTATAAGCTTTTCATGTGGCCAACAGCTAATTGAGCTTGCAGGGTCCACTTAGAGGTGATCCACGCCTGTAGCCTCTTGTTACCAGCTAACAAGATACGGGGGAGCATGCGTGTTTTATATAAAAAAACATAATCTCTGCGTGTGTTTTATTTTCTTAGAGCGCAGAGCCAGTCTTTAATGGATTCGTAAAGTCGCTTGTGTCTGATGTTGCAAAGTGCGGCGGATAACTGGCAGCTCGTCGCTCCCACCGGCAGCGCCTAGTCAGTAGGAAGATGACAGGAACTGTCCGTGGTGCTTAAACAGACAGCTCCTTTGTTCGAGTCTGGCCTCATTTTGTAAAGTTTGTGCAGCGGCAACTCTGAAGTAAATTGAGCTAAATATTGTAAATAAATATGTTTCTATTCGATAATCAAGCAAAGAATTATGACCCCCTGGCTAATAGCCTGTTTGTTTGAATGCCAAAACCTCTAGCTTGTGGAGGTATTGATTCCAACAAAACGATGAAGGTGGGCTATAGTGTTTAGCGACATCGAGATAGTAGGACCTTAGTACTTTTCCGTCCTGGACGTTAGGATCTTAGGCCTCCTTTGATCTGACCTGTTGTTTCATCAGGATTAACAGATGCTCAATTGGGTTGAATGTGAGGAATTTAATGGTTACTGAAACTTCTTTCAAAATCTTTATTTGTGTCTTGTATTGTTATTATTAAGGAACGTTTCAAAATCCTGATGTACCATACTCACGTGCTTATTTATCTACATCCTTAGGTTACTCGTTTTTTTTTTTTTTTTGGACTTGGACCATTTTCTATTAGGTTCTGAAGTCTGCAGAATGCTAACATTCTACAAAGATTTCAGTTTAGGAGATGTTCTAGACCTGGTTTAGCCATCGCAATGTGTCACAAATCCTTATCTTGCTTCGAACATCACCTTTAAGGATTAAATAATCTCTAAAGGTTTAAAGGTTAATTTAAAGGTTATCACCAAAAGCAATCTTTGTAGAAGAAACCACATTAAGGCTCTGGGGGAGTAACAAAAACAAAGAAATGACAAATTGTATTCCTATATAAACCAACTATAATTACACAGAGCTTTTCTTATTATCTTTGATACCTTAACATCATTAAATCACAACAGATTGATATTTCCCTGCAGTAAATTATGTTTAATATAGTTATCAAATCATTTAATATTTTCATGCAAGATAATAATTTCTATCCAAATCAATACAAACTGACACGCTATCATTTACCCAAAATTGTTACATTTCAAGCAGCAGACACTAATACTGACTTTAAACTGCTTCTGTCTCTACCGCACTGCTTTGAACTTCTCTGCTCATTTGATTCACACTGTGTTAGCCTCACTATGGTGCAAAGCCCAGAGGTGTTTTAAGAAGCATGCACAAATACTCAACAAAACCCAGGGATAACTGTTGCACCTCTTTTGCATCTATATATTTTCACTAGTTATATTCTACAATTGGTAGGTACACTGACAACAGAAAAGTTAAAGCAGGTGCTTTCAATGCTTGATTGCATTTAATGTTCAATTGTTATGCTTTGATTACCTAAGTTAATTTAAACAGCCAAGTATCTAATCCTTGTGTGTCTAATAATACACACATAAATCGGAATACATTTCAAGATTTATCAACATAGCAAGATTTCTAAGAAAATATAGGCAGTGATTATGAAATTGTTTTTGAAAAGACAGTTGTGGTGATTCTTTAGTTTGCTATTTGGTACTACGTGATTTAGTGTATAAGATACGGCCCCCGCCCCCACTTTAGAAACATATCTACACCTGAATGCAAACATAACTTCAACTAAACATTTTTTGTGTATGTGATGCAGTATGGATTCCACGGGTTTAAAAACAAAATGTCTGATAGTGTGTGCAGGCTGCACACCATGTCTGCTATAAACACAGCTGGGGAACTAATACAGCACCCAAGAGGAAATCAAATTAACTCTGGGGGAGCTGTGACAGCTTCTGTGAACCCAATAATTGACTTCAGTGCTTTTCTGTGATTACTGTGGTACAACATCTTTAAATGCACATGATCTGGGGTGTATATCAAAATGTCTTTAACTGGTTACTTTGTAGAGTACAGAGGGTACTGTACTGTGAGTAGGGACTCTCCATGCTAAGCAGTGCCTTTGTTTTTGGTCATCTCAATTTGTAGAGTAGCTGACAAAGTTGCCTTTAATTAGACTTATCCCCGTGATTGACGGTGTGTGTTTTCCCCTAGTAACATTGATTGAATTAGGCCACCATGTAGACCCATTGCTTTCCCAAGGAGGGGAAAGCAATCCTGCAGTGAGGTTTATCAATAAGCGGGTGGTTGGAGTGCTATAGTGCTGGTATTCCCCGTGGGCAGACAGCCGGTGATGAGGAAAGAACTCGCTCAGGGAGAGACCCTGATCACACGGCAGATTGGAAGCCCTCGGTGCTAACGTCTGTCGGTCCCTGCCGCAGGGGAAAAAGGGTTGGAGCCACACGGAGCTGACCCAGTAGCACACACTGGGCCAAACTTCAGGTTAGCCTTCATACAGAAATCAGATCTGTGCAGCTGTGCTTTTACTTGGCTTTGTTTTGTTTATTTATTTATTTATTTATTTATTTATTTATTTATTTATTTATTTATTTATTTATTTATTTATTTATTTTTTCTTTTAGCTATATCACAATGCATGCTTTTCATGTGTTTGGTTAGGTTAACTGAAATGTGCTCAAGTGAAAACAGATTAGGAGCCAAACCAGTTTGCAAACCTAGGATTATTATTATTATTATTTTGATGCCATTGTTTTGAAGGCTGGTTGCTTTGATGTGGACCCCCTTGAGGCCACTGGCAGCTGAGCTCCCACTGTGGCAGATTGATATTTGTAATTTAAAGGAAGTTGTCACACAGCATCCTCCAGATGGAAAGAGCTGTAGAGGCATGCTGTCAATTAAACATGGTTTGTTTAGAAATAATCATTGTGATGCAGAACCCCGGGAGCTATTTCAGGCAAATGTGCTCCAAGTTTAAAAAATATTCAATTAAATAATAATCCAGCCGAGCATGTTTTAATAACACATGGGTGTGGAGGGCACACCCATGTCCCTGAGAGCAAAATATCAAAGCAGAGAGAGCAGGCCAGTGATTTGTGGCTCTGCTGCAGAAGAGGTTATGCGATGAGATGAGAGCAAATTCATTAAAAGCCACAAGTATGCTCAGGCATGCACTCAGACACATGCATCTGGATCAGAGTTGTGCTTTTTTATCTCTCTTGTCACATTGATTGAGATCAAGACAAGAATAACATTGAATAGAAAGCACTGCTTAATGGACTACAGTTAAATAGAATTTAAAATGCACTGTAACCCCATACTGGCAAATTAGGATGTTGGTATTCAGCTGCTGGTTTAATGACCACCTATTTTAAACAACTTTCTGCACAGCTGTCTTGTAAAAATTGTAAGAGTTAAAAAGTCTACCTTTGTATAATGTTTTTTTATTTTATTTATGTCAAAACATGATTATAATGTTTCAGATATTCTTGTTCTGGGAATGATGAACTGTCTTTATTTTGCAAAAGTTCCTAGAGTGCAACGTCAATGATTTAGCTATATTGTGGTCTAAACAGCTGTTGTCAGTAAGACAGATGACACTGGAATCGAAAATAGCACACAGTCAAGTTGATAGTTAAATAACTACTAAACCCCGTGGTTTGAACAAACTGTCTGAAATGTTGCATTATGTTTGACTTGCATCTATGTACAATAGCAACAATTCAAAATGGCCCTTTGCAGTCAAACCCCAGCTGAATGGCACCTCCCTGTAACTCCCAGAGAATCCCCTCCAACTTCCAAC